TGCTGTGGGTCCTACAAGCCATGCAGGCTTTGCTGAGAGTGTTGAGTGCTCAGTGACATTGTTTTTACTGCAGGACAAATACATTATAAGGTGTGACCCAAAGGCCTGGTCCCACTGCTCCTCCAAAATGGAAGGCCACTTGGAGCACATCACAGCTCCTTCCCTGCCTGTGTTCAACTTTTCCTCCAAAGGAAGCCAGTGTTCCAAGGCAGATGGTGGCTACCAACATCTTGTCCATGCAGTCTTGAGTGAGACTGCAGGTGAAGCAGGAGCTGAGGACGATGGAGCACACCTGGCCTGCAAAATGGACACAACTTGCCCTGAAAACTTGGAGCTCAGATTTTGGTAGTTGTTGTTTAGAAGAGGAAAGTTCATTTGTGCTCACTGCCCCAAACTGAGGAGAGCAGCAGGTACCCTCGACAAATTCACATTGATCAAACCCTGTTCTGCCATTGGGTTCATACAGACATTTCAGTGCTTGAGATGCAGGCAGGTTGCCAGGCATTTTTGAAAATCTACTATATAGCAATTGTTAGAAAAGATACGTTTCAAATCTTTCCAGATTTGTTTTCATATTTTCTTTGACGAAATAATTCACTAAAATCAATATACATTCATGAAAACCATCTAGCCCACGGTCCTGCCTCTGAGAACTACAGTGATGACTTCTAGGGAAAGACCTAAAGCAAATAAGAAGTAAGGTACATATAAGTGATCCTACCTTTTTGGCTTCCTGAAATGGTGGTTGCCATTCAGATTACTGAGTTTACTTCCAGTGGGCAGACCACAGTGTTGCTTTTTAACAGCAAAAATAGAATTCAGAAAGAAAAGCGTACAGCATTATTGAATGCAGACTTTTTTTTTTCTTTTTTTTTTTTTTTTTTTACAAACAGCTCAGCTATAACAGTATGCTTCACTTAGCTGACTAGAGAATGCAGATGTACCGCTCACTAGACCCATTCAGTAGAGATGAGAGGATTTGCAGAAATTGATTGGCATTGCAAGTCAGTTGGCTCTGCATTACACTGTGAGAATCCTTAATTTTCCCATTTCTAAAAGTGGGAAGACTGTTATTACAATGCCACAATTACCTTGAAAGGGCATCAGAAGGCTTAATGAAATCATGTTTGTCAAGCACTTTAAGGCCTTTGCGTGTTCTAAGTGTTTTTCTGTTAGTATTATTCAGTAACAGTGCTAGTCTTCTACAAAATTACAGAAATGAAGGGCAGAACTTAAAAGTGAAAATTTCCACAGACCTCAGTTTTCAGACCTTTCATCTTCACAGGCTGCAGCATAAAGGCACCCTCCGAGCCTTGTTGTTTTAATCTATTCTGAGGTAGTTAATATTTGCTAGGTGTTGAAATGCTCAGACACATTTCACCCTGAGGTATTTAGAGCTGAAGTCTGCAGAGGCAAACCAGAGAGACATACTAGAGAACATATTAGAGTTCTTCCTGTGATCGTGTGATTCTTTCCCTTAAACATTTTTGCACAGTTTCAAGCCAATGATTAACATTCCATTAGCAAAATAACAGCTATAAACTACCAAGGGAACTTGCTAGGCGTGCTCTTGAAATAACGGTTTTGATTGAGTAGGATTCTGCTCCATAGCAATGCCGAGGCACAGTGAAAGAGCAGAGGTTATAAAGTAGACTATTGCTGCAATTAAAAAAACAGGCAAAATTTTAGCTCAAGGGAGAACAAGGACTGTTTTTTCTCAGTGGTAACTGAGAAACCAGATTAGGCTGGAGACTGGAATCAGCTGCCTGTGCAACAAACTGGCTACATGAGGAGCATATAGCCTCAGCTCAGCAGCAGCCTGGCTCCGTGAGGGACAAGAACAGCAAGGAATCTAGCTGCAAGAGGAGGGAATTTTGCAAAAGAAACCCACAACCACCTCAGAAACAAAAAGAAAGAAAAAAAAAACCCAGGAGGATAAGAGCTGTTGAGAGTCCTGAGATGGTGATGGCTGTGACTGACCACAGAGGGGCTGGAGCAGGAGTAAATCCTTGCCGTCATCTACAAGGATGCAGGACCATGAGCCAATGCTCTGGCATGGCAGGGAGGGGAACGAGGCAAGCAAGCGGCATATGCAGAGCAACAGTGTGTTTTGCACCCTCTGTTAACGTTGGTGGCAGTGGTCTTGGCAGCCTCCAGGATCGTGAGCAATGTGGAAAGATGACACAGGCAGTGCGTCGCCCATGCGCCATGGTTTGGTGACCAACTGATCTCAGCTTTCATCAGTTGCTAAAAATACAGGGAACATCAATATGTATGGTAAAGCCCAGTGTTTTTCCACTTACGTTCAGCAACACTCATGCTCAGCTTCTGTGTTAGGGCCTTGGATACAATGAGTAGCACTTAAATAAAATTACTCACATGAGCAAATGCTAGTAGGTGAAGATAAGGATGGCAGAATCAGGTTCTTAACAATTTTGATACAGAATGTAAGCAGCCTAAAGAGAAGCCT